CTGATCAAATGGAAAATATATTATATCTATATTACAGGAGCTCTTATAAATTGCCGGCGGATTCCACGTCACTTTCCCGGACTCATGCTGTCAGACGAGTCAATCATTTTAAATATGTATTAAAATATTTAATTCATTTAAATGCTTACAATTATGGCTTTTGTCATTATTGTCACCTCATAGTTACCATCAGCACTATAGTGAATGACAACTTTATTAAAATATTTTATTAAAATTTTCCAATAATATATTAAATATTTGTAATATGCACTAAGAATTGGCTGTATAATTAAAGTTTGCATAAAATATTTGGCGAGTAATCTTGTAATGTATTAAATATCGCATTGTATTGTTAGTTAAGTGTAAGATATGTTAGTATTGTCTTATATATTAGGAATTCCCTAATGTTCTTTATAACTTGACGTGTTGTATGCACTACCTTGATAATTTGCAAAGTATTATTCACTCTAATCGTTACACTTTTTATAGTCATTATATGCCCTGTTTTTATATTATTTTTATATCAAAAATTATATTATGAGTAAATATTAGTTTTTATTTAAAAAACATATTTAAACCCCACTAATCTGATTCAGGTACACTATATATGAGAAGCACTTGAATAGAGTATAAATAACACAACAATAAAGTGAACATATTTCGTACATAGGGAATTCGTATTATATATGATGGGATGGGTGTCTAATCCTAATAACAATTTTGTTGTTTATCTCAGCAATGGTTACAATGAAGTCAAAGACAAGAACTTATTTGAATGGTTTGCTATGAATAGTGAATTGAATAAAAGAAGAGCTGATATAAAATCAATGGACTCNTAAGAATTGGCTGTATAATTAAAGTTTGCATAAAATATTTGGCGAGTAATCTTGTAATGTATTAAATATCGCATTGTATTGTTAGTTAAGTGTAAGATATGTTAGTATTGTCTTATATATTAGGAATTCCCTAATGTTCTTTATAACTTGACGTGTTGTATGCACTACCTTGATAATTTGCAAAGTATTATTCACTCTAATCGTTACACTTTTTATAGTCATTATATGCCCTGTTTTTATATTATTTTTATATCAAAAATTATATTATGAGTAAATATTAGTTTTTATTTAAAAAACATATTTAAACCCCACTAATCTGATTCAGGTACACTATATATGAGAAGCACTTGAATAGAGTATAAATAACACAACAATAAAGTGAACATATTTCGTACATAGGGAATTCGTATTATATATGATGGGATGGGTGTCTAATCCTAATAACAATTTTGTTGTTTATCTCAGCAATGGTTACAATGAAGTCAAAGACAAGAACTTATTTGAATGGTTTGCTATGAATAGTGAATTGAATAAAAGAAGAGCTGATATAAAATCAATGGACTCTTTGGTGCAATCGTTTGTCTCTGTATTACAACTCAAATACAATTTCCTATATTTCAATACAATCTCTGGAATTGTGAGCATTCCTTGGATTCCCAGTCCATAGACTTCAATACATTTGCAAACATTTTATCATTAGATGCGAGACTGGCTCTACTGAGCATTGATTTGTTACGTCCACATGGCTTACAATTACTAAGTTATGGTATTTAATGCTTAACTGTGTGTTCAATGCCTTCACTATATATTTATATAATATTCGGAATTTTATTCAAATTATATCAACATTTTGTTGAATTTTAATCAAGAATATTCTGAATATTTTCTTTAACATATATGAAAATTATGATTGAATCACATAATAAAAAACTTTGACGAGTTTGTAAATGTCTTACTTATTATAGAGCACAATATCCGGTAACCAAATGTCTTCTGACGGAACATAGAGTTGTGATACTCCGCCATATTCTTCGGGATCCCATTTCAGCTTATGATCCGTCCATTCCTTACATTATATGTGAAACAAAGTTATATCGATTTGAATATAAAGTGCAATCTATGGACGCTTTCAGAGCACATAAATATTAATGGTTTGTGAAAATCAATGAAGTCTTGCATTGAATTCTAATGCATTCCTCAATAAAATCTTAAACAATCAAAAGAGAAAACATTTTATTTATCTTTAAATAAATACTAAATGACGCGATTTAAGCATAAATTAAATATTTATGAGTTATTTCTTGTTAATGTCATCAAATAAGTTATAAAGCATTTTCTTAATTTATAGATTAATACAGTATAAGTAGTTAGCCTTTAATTAAAGAACTTATAACATAGAAATTCTCATTTAATATAATGAAAATAGTATTTGTTTTGTTTAATTGATTTAAAATTTAGTTTCGTCACATATTTAATCTAAATTAATATTTAACAATATTAGCGATAAACTAAACAATAAAAACAACTCACAAACAGTCGTGCTATACGTTAACTACAATTGGGATGATTCTCAAACAATAGATTAGCATTATGTACACATTTAATATGAGTCCTACATATTTAGCATTAGCCATATGATTAGCAATAGTCTTCTAGACTTAATTGTGTCCATAGATTTAACATTGTCATAAACCTATGTCATAGACTCAAGCTGTAATCCCATAGAAACCCATGTATAAGTATTTTTCCAGGAGGGAGTGGCCGTTCGATACTATAAACCACATTCTTCATATGAGGTTGGGAAAACCAAAAGCTCACAAACTTTTGCATATTATCTTTATAGAACTTGATAGGTAGTAATAACCACTAAGACGCACAGGAGCCAGTCTAGAGCCACTTTTGTATAGTGAGGTTATACTTTAGTTATAGCATGACTAATGCTATCAAATATGAATCTGTCTATAAATCGCTATATTTATAAAACATACAGTGTTGACTATTTACTATTACATTTCAACATGAGAATCCCTGGTAATAACTCAAAATTTACTTGATCAATTTTAACAAATTATTATTATAATATTATTATTATTATTATCTTTATAGTATAAGAATTTTGGTATATAATTTGTTAAAATTGATCAAGTAAATTTTGAGTTATCACTACCTATTATCCATAGAAATAATATGCAAAAGTTGGTAAGCTTTTGGTTTTCCCAACCTCATATATGAATTGTGATTAAATATAATATTAACAAATACCTGTTGTTATACAATATTCAATATTTCTTTGTAATTAAGTTTTTGTTTATTGATACTCGAGAATAATATTTAATGAGTCTATCATTTTTACAATAGTATTCACAAAATTCATAACAATTGTTATTTAATTAACAGAGAAACTCAATTCATTAACACTATATTCTGTACCAGAATTGCAATTTTCATACTTTTGTCAGAATAATAATTTTGTAATTTTTGCCACTCATTTACGAATGTTTCTGACATTTCATATTTATATTCATCCATTCAATTGTCAGTCAATTATATTAGTTTAATTATATTATTGTCAACTAATCTACAATCTAAATTATATTGTATATCATTGACATTCTAATTAATTATAAACATAATTATTTTATACGACATGGGCTCAACATGGGCAATGCTAAATTAATGGATAATGGATAAGTCTTTAATAGGACTAATATTAAATATTTAGATATTGCTAAACTATTCTTTGAGTAATACCCGAATTGTGGTTAACGTATAACATCGCTGTGTGAACCTTGTTAAGTTTTAAGTTATCATAATTTTATACAGTATAATAAAATTCAAAGATAAATTTTTAAAAATGTATGTTCACTCAAGAAGTGTTAAAAATTAATAGCTAGGATGTTTTTATCTACTACTCTATTATTTCTTAACAGCAATTACAAGATTTAATACATTATAATTAACGCTATTATTAATAGCAATAAAAATTTCATATTTATGTAATAATATTACGTGACTGTGTTGTGGGCAAAACAACTTATATAAATTAGTTTTGAAATAATACAAAACAAAACAATAGATTGAATGCTTACCTGATTCACCCACATGTTTGTTGTCATGATTTGATTCTTGAGATTCTGTTGACAAATAAACCAGTTTTGAACAATAATTGACAAGTTATTCATTAATAGCATCACTACTGACCACATCTATGAGTTGTGATAATTTCAGTCCCATCTTAACAGTCAGTCGATCACTAATATTGAATACAAATAACTGATTATTATTTATTAAAACAATTTATAAAAACAAATTCCTTACCTGTTGTTAAAGACCGGACGAATCAGTCGATTGTAACTGAAATGCAATTTAAATTTTATTATTATATTTTCACAAAATAATTAAGATTTATATTTTATAAAGTTAAAGAGGGGTAATAACTTACCTTGATAATAAATCGTCGTATAATCGTTTTGCATCTGTAAATATGCAATATAATTAATAAACAACTAATAGAAGAGTATAAACAGACCTGGATTACAATGAATTGCTTTCACATGTAAAGCTATTATAAACACAAATGACTTAAACCAAAACATTTTCACTTATTTCCAAAACTAATAATTATTACAACTTTTAATTCAATTGTAAACACATTTAAATGTTTGTAATTTAAGAAATTCTTATAATTGTAATAATCTCTAATAAAAATATTCTCAATTCAATGGTTTGCGCAAAATCTGAGAGAGGATTGAGTGGAAAGGGATGCTAAGGATTCATCGCTCAGTCTCTTCACTGTCTTTCTCTTTGCTCTGAAAAATATCAAGATTTTGCGCAAACGATTGAATCGGAAATATTTTTATTTAAGATAATTACAATTATAAGCAGTTTTATAATTAATATAAATTGTGTTTACAATCGGATTAAATCTTGTAATAATTTCCAGGTTTCAAAATAAGTGAAAATGTTTTGGTTTAAGTCATTGATGTTTATAACATTTTTGAATGTGAAAGCAATTCATTGTAATCCAGGTCTGTTTATATTTTCAAAATATTTATTGTTAATTATATTTCTATATTTTCAGATGCGAAGAGACTATATGATGATTTATTATCAAGGTGAGTTTAGTTAAAATTTAACTGTTAAATTGAATAATTGACATTCTACTAATAATAATAACAACATTATATTTTAGCTACAATCGACTGATTCGTCCGGTTTTTAACAATAGGTAAGAAATTTGTTTTTATAAATAATTTGAATAAATATTAAAAATATTTTTTTATAATTAGTGATCGACTGACTGTTAAGATGGGACTGAAATTATCGCAACTCATAGATGTGGTCAGTAGTGATGCCATTAATCAATAACTTGTCAATTATTGTTCAAAACTGGTTTATTTGTCAACAGAATCTCAAGAATCAAATCATGACAACAAACGTATGGGTGAATCAGGTAAGCGTTCAATCTTTTTATACTGTTATTTTGACATAACATAGCTTAGCGTTGACATAATTAAACTGTTTAAACCAAACGTTTTATAGAGAATGTAATATTTGAATATTATATACAAATCTATATCGGCCATACGTTAAACAAAACGAGCTAGATCAAATCTGTAAAAAGTAAAATAGAGTTCCGTATGTCTGTAACTTTTAGTTATTTGTATTAAAAAATTATTGAGATTAAAACACAAAAATGTTGAGACAAATGCAGAAGTCATGTGAATTTTTCATGTCATGTATACTTTTGTTAGAATACTTTCATTATTGTTATTTTGAGAATTTTACTTGTTTTTGACAACAATTAGCTCGATTTATTATGACAGATTCATTTAGTATATCTCCATAGAAAAAGCATTATCCCATTGAAATAACATTACTCCCATAGACTTAGCATTACCCAGTTTATCCCTATGGGATAGACTTAGCATTACCCATGTTAAGCCCATGTCGTATAAAATAATTATGTTTATAATTAATTAGAATGTCAATGATATACAATATAATTTAGATTGTAGATTAGTTGACAATAATATAATTAAACTAATATAATTGACTGACAATTGAATGGATGAATATAAATATGAAATGTCAGAAACATTCGTAAATGAGTGGCAAAAATTACAAAATTATTATTCTGACAAAAGTATGAAAATTGCAATTCTGGTACAGAATATAGTGTTAATGAATTGAGTTTCTCTGTTAATTAAATAACAATTGTTATGAATTTTGTGAATACTATTGTAAAAATGATAGACTCATTAAATATTATTCTCGAGTATCAATAAACAAAAACTTAATTACAAAGAAATATTGAATATTGTATAACAACAGGTATTTGTTAATATTATATTTAATCACAATTCATATA